CGAAGAAGCAAATGGGTGAGCGTTTGAGTGAATGAGCGAGTGAGTGAGGAGTTGATTATGTGGGTGAGCGAGCGGCTGAGTGAACGATTAGGTGAATAATGAGCGAGTGAGTGGTTACGTAATTGACGAGCGCGCGAACGAGTGAGAGGTTAAGTGAATGATGAGCGAGCGAGTGAGCGGTTAAGTGAATGATGAGCGAGCGAGTGAGCGGTTAAGTGAATGATGAGCGAGCGAGTAAGCGGTTAAGTGAATGATGAGCGAGCGAGTGAGCGGTTAAGTGAATGATGAGCGAGCGAGTGAGCGGTTAAGTGAATGATGAGCGAGCGAGTGAGCGGTTAAGTGAATGATGAGTGAGCGGTTAAGTGAATGATGAGCGAGCGGTTAAGTGAATGATGAGCGAGCGAGTGAACGGTTAAGTGAATGATGAGCGAGCGAGTGAGCGGTTAAGTGAATGATGAGTGAGCGAGTGAGCGAGTGAACGGTTAAGTGAATGATGAGCGAGCGAATGAGCGGTTAAGTGAATGATGAGCGAGCGAGTGAACGGTTAAGTGAATGATGAGTGAGCGAGTGAGCGGTTAAGTGAATGATGAGCGAGCGAGTGAGCGGTTAAGTGAAGTATGAGCGAGCGAGTGAACGGTTAAGTGAATGATGAGCGAGCGAGTGAACGGTTAAGTGAATGATGAGCGAGCGAGTGAACGGTTAAGTGAATGATGAGCGAGTGAGTGAGCGGTTAAGTGAATGATGAGCGAGCGAGTGAACGGTTAAGTGAATGATGAGCGAGCGAGTGAGCGGTTAAGTGAATGACGACCTAGCGAGTGAACGGTTAAGTGAGCGACGAGCGAGCGAGTGAGTGGTTAAGTGAGCGACGAGCGAGCGAGGGAAAAAGCATCTGAGTGAGCGAGCGACAGCCCCTCGAGGCAAAGCGACTGTCACGGGGAGCCAGCCCCCCCACCCCCGCTCCCCCCCCCCTCCCTCTCGGCATCTCCCTTTGATGCCCCCCTCCCATGCTCCCCCAAAATGAACAGCGCTCGTTTCAAGTCCCCCATGGCTCTGGGCGTGAGGGGGGGGGGACGGGGCTGTATCAGCACGCGGCAAGCGAGGGAGCTTAGCCGCGGAGGCCCTCAACGGCGAGAGAGACGTCGCATGCGGGACGCGACGGGGCCAGGCCGAGGGAAAGATAAAACTCCTGGGGTATTTATATTCGCGGCTCTCGGTCCCCGCGGGCCCCCTTTCTTCCCGAGCGCAACATTTATTTTGCCTGGGACGCGGCCAGCGACGGAAAGCGCTGACACCGAAGCTGACGTTGCCCATCGGAACAAGGGGGGGGGGGGGGCTTCTTTCTCTGTCACGCGGCATCACGCGACCCCGGTTTTGAGACCGTCGCGCTAAAAACGTGTGACGTTTGAATTTGATTCGCGTTACGCGCTTTGTTCACCGAGCCAGCAGATCCCACGGTCGGCTGTTACTTTAATATCTATATTATATATAAGTGTGTGGAGGGGACCCGGCCCTGTCATGGGAATGTGGAATTTCCACTGCTGTGGCTCAGGGCTGACAGTGGAGGTGAGTGCTGCTCGCTTGAGCAGGGAGAGGCTCAGACTCAGGCTTTGTTATTTCAGCTGCCAAAGCCACATTGAGCCAAGCAGTTCAATGTGGCCTTACATACAGAGCCATAGAGTGACATAAAGACTCAGAGTGACATAAAGACTCATAGAGCTACATAGAGAGCCATAGAGTGACATAAAGACTTAGAGTGACATACAGACTCATAGAGCTACATACAGAGCCATAGAGTGACATAAAGACTCAGAGTGACATACAGACTCAGAGCTACATAGAGAGCCATAGAGTGACATAAAGACTCAGAGTGACATACAGACTCATAGAGCTACATAGAGAGCCATAGAGTGACATACAGACTCATAGAGCTACATAGAGAGCCATAGAGTGACATAAAGACTCAGAGACATAAAGACTCATAGAGCTACATAGAGAGCCATAGAGTGACATAAAGACTCAGAGTGACATACAGACTCATAGAGCTACATACAGACTCAGAGTGACATACAGACTCATAGAGCTACATACAGACTCAGAGTGACATACAGACTCATAGAGTTACATACAGAGCCATAGACTCAGCTAGCAAGGCCCCATTGCGATAAGTGGCTCTGTTACAATGATGACCGCAGCCCACGACCGTTGCAGTTGCACAGAGTTACGCAGAGATCCGTAGAGTTACATGCAGCCATCGAGTTGCATCGAGAAGCACATCGCTTGATTTGAAGCTTTCACGACTGAAGGAATCCATACTTTTTGGTTCCTTCGGTAAATTCACGTGGGTAGAAAAATAAAAACAAAAAATAATAAATGTATTTTATGTTTCTACCTACGTGACTTTACCGAAAGAACCAACGAGTATGTGAGTACATAGCTACATAGAGATCCGTAGCGTTACACAGAGACTCATAGGCCACAGTCAAAGGCCGTCGGTAGTAGCAGCACTTACCGGACACCGCAGGGTGGGAACAAGCAAAGTAACAAGAGCAAAAACAACAAATTATATACAGGAAACCCACACCAGAGCTGACCGCAAACAGGACAAGCGATAAATAAACAGTACTTAGGATCGGGTCAGGTAGCCTCCCCTAGGGTAGTTGTAGCCGGAGGACCCCAGAGCGTAGCCAGAGTAGTGTATCTAGGCTGTGTACCTAGGCTGTGTACCTAGGCTGTGTACCTAGGCTGTGTATCTAGGCTGTGTCGCTAGGCTGTAACAGAGTATCAGGACTGTTGGAGTGTTGTATTGTAATAAAGAAGTTACCTCTACAAGTGTCTCCGGAACCCATTACACAGGAAACCCGCACCAGAGCTGACCGCAAACAGGACGAGCGATAAATAAAAGGTACTTGGGACACTCATCTAACGGGCTCGGACATAAGCAGCGTTCACGGCCACAGTGTGGCGGAGGTGATCCTGACAGCGCGGTCCGGACGGAGTACGTGGGGGACGCTACGGTCGGTTACGAGGAAGACCCGACGTTTGGTGCGCCGGGGCAAGGGAAGGCTGTGACGCCGACTCTCGCATTTGAGACCGGTGCCGAGTACTTGCGTCGTCACTTGGCAACAGTTCTGCCGTGGCAATCTGACTGGAAGAATTTCCGATTAGCACGGTGGGTGGGGGAAGGGGGAAAGGGGGGGGGGCTACGTATGGTGCGAAAGAAGTTCGCCTTCCTCACATTTCCTGCAGCACAGCGTCCGCATGCAGACTGCAGCGATAGACGCAGCGTGGGATCTCCTATCAGCCATGCCACACGGAGAACCTTGACACTGCTGTGATCATCATGTGCCAGGGTCTATCCACTGCTGAGATCATCATCCACATCATCATGTGTCAGGGTCTATCCACTGCTGAGATCATCATCCACATCATCAAGTGCCAGGGTCTATCCACTGCTGGGCTCATCATCCACATGATCATGTGCCAGGGTCTATCCACTGCTGGGATCATCATCCACATCATCACGTGCCAGGGTCTATCCACTGCTGGGCTCATCATCCACATCATCACGTGTCAGGGTCTATCCACTGCTGGCTCATCATCCACATCATCACGTGCCAGGGTCTATCCACTGCTGGGCTCATCATCCACATCATCACGTGTCAGGGTCTATCCACTGCTGGGCTCATCATCCACATCATCACGTGTCAGGGTCTATCCAGCTGGGATCATCATTCACATCATCACGTGCCAGGGTCTATCCACTGCTGGGATCATCATCCACATCATCACGTGCCAGGGTCTATCCACTGCTGGGCTCATCATCCACATCATCACGTGCCAGGGTCTATCCACTGCTGGGATCATCATTCACATCATCACGTGCCAGGGTCTATCCACTGCTGGGATCATCATCCACATCATCACGTGCCAGGGTCTATCCACTGCTGGGTTCATCATCCACATCATCACGTGTCAGGGTCTATCCACTACTGGGATCATCATCCACATCATCACGTGTCAGGGTCTATCCACTGCTGGGATCATCATCCACATCATCACGTGTCAGGGTCTATCCATGGCACATAGGGGGCAGCCGCCGAGTTAACAGACCGCACAAAAAGAGACGTGTGGTTAATTACACGGTTTTTGTTTTGGTCAAACAATTTTAACTTTGTCAACTGAATCGACCAAGAGGCGGAGCCGACGGTGGGTTAGGATCTTGACGGAGCACGGCAGCGTCGTGGTGGGGTGGTGGGGCAGGGTCGTGGTGGGGCAGGGTCGTGGTGGGGTGGTGGGGCAGGGTCGTGGTGGGGCAGGGTCGTGGTGGGGTGGTGGGGCAGGGTCGTGGTGGGGCAGGGTCGTGGTGGGGTGGTGGGGCAGGGTCGTGGTGGGGTGGTGGGCAGGGTCGTGGTGGGGGTGGGGCAGGGTCGTGGTGGGGTGGTGGGGCAGGGTCGTGGTGGAGCAGGGTCGTGGTGGGGTGGTGGGGCAGGGTCGTGGTGGGGCGGTGGGGCAGGGTCGTGGTGGGGGTGGGGCAGGGTCGTGGTGGGGTGGTGGGGCAGGGTCGTGGTGGGGCAGGGTCGTGGTGGGGTGGTGGGGCAGGGTCGTGGTGGGGTGGTGGGGCAGGGTCGTGGTGGGGCAGGGTCGTGGTGCGGTGGTGGGGCAGGGTCGTGGTGGGGCGGTGGGGCAGGGTCGTGGTGGGGCTGGGTCGTGGTGGGGCAGGGTCGTGGTGGGGTGGTGGGGCAGGGTCGTGGTGGGGCAGGGTCGTGGTGAGGTGGTGGGGCAGGGTCGTGGTGGGGGTGGGGCAGGGTGGTGGTGGGGTGGTGGGGCAGGGTGGTGGTGGGGCGGTGGGGCAGGGTTGTGGTGGGGCGGTGGGGCAGGGTGGTGGTGAGGTGGTGGGGCAGGGTCGTGGTGAGGTGGTGGGGCAGGGTCATGGTGAGGCGGTGGGGCAGGGTGGTGGTGGGGTGGTGGGGGTGGGGCAGGGTGGGGGTGTGGCGGGCTACCTGTACGGCTGCGCCTCCTCGAGGAACCTGCGCTGCTCATCGGGGGGGGCGCCCGACCGCAGCTCCTTGACGACGACGCGGGACGGGCTGAAGCCGGCGAAGATCTCTCCCAGCAGCACCTGCAGCAGGGCGCCGGGTGGATGGGTGGGACCACAGTAGCAGGGTCAGCAGCGGCGACGGCAGGAGCGAGAACACCACAGCAGCAGCAGCAGCGGTAGTGGCAGCAGTGGCGGCAGAAGTATCAGCAGGAGAAGCAGCATTAGTAGTATCAGCAGCAGTAGCGGCAGTAGTGTCAGCAGAAGTGGCAACATCAGCAGCAGTATGTGCAGTACCAGCAGTAGCAGCGACGGGTCACCATGCGGTGTGTCGCGACGCGTCGATTCGGATCAAGATCAATCTTCACGCTCACGACACAATCTAAATCTAGATTGAAATCTAATTTCGTAAGAACTGCTTTTCGTGTTTAGCTACGTACGGCGCGAAAGAAGTTCAACATACATACTGTACTATACACTACACTATACACTACACACACTGCGCTATACACTGCGCACTATGCTACATTAAACACTACAAGACACTTCACTATACACTACACTACGACTATAAACGACACCGCTCTACTAAATAGAAAACGCTGTTTAGAACTACTTTTTCGTGTTTGGCTTGAATGCCCTTCCACCCGCACCTCCGCGTAGCACGGTTGGCTACGTACGGCGCGAAAGAAGTTCAACATACACACTGCACTACGTAGCCCGCGTTTCACATCAGCTGATGGAGCGAACGGGGTCAGACAAACCGTAAACACGCACCAGGGGCGGTGAAAGCATTCTCGAGTCGAATCGGGAACCCCCGAATTGTGACAATTTGTGGATACGCTGCGTGGGGGAGTGGTGTGGTGTGGTGGGGGTGTGGTGTGGTGGGGGTGTGGTGTGGTGGGGGTGTGGTGTGGTGGGGGGTGTGGTGGGGGTGTGGTGTGGTGGGGGGTGGTGTGGTGGGGGGTGGTGTGGTGGGGGGTGGTGTGGTGGGGGGTGGCGTAGTGGGGGTGTGGTGTGGTGGGGGGTGTGGTGTGGTGGGGGGTGTGGTGTGGTGGGGGGTGGTGTGGTGGGGGTGTGGTGGGGGTGTGGTGTGGTGTGGTGGGGGTGTGGTGGGAGTGTGGTGTGGTGTGGTGGGGGTGTGGTGTGGGGGGGGGTGTAGTGTGGGTTTGGTGTGGTGTGGGGGGGGGTGTGATGTGGTGGGGGGTGGTGTGGTGGGGGGTGTGGTGTGGGGGGGGGGGTGTGGTGGGGGTGTGGAGTGGGTTTGGTGTGGTGTGGGGGGTGTGTGGTGTGGTGGGGGGTGGTGTGGTGGGGGGTGGTGTGGTGGGGGATGGTGTGGTGGGGGTGTGGTGTGGTGGGGGGTGTGGTGGGGGTGTGGTGTGGTGGGGGGTGTGGTGTGGTGTGGGTGGTGTGTGTGGTGTGGTGGGGGGGGTGTGGCGTGGGTGTGGTGGGGGGTGTGGTGTGGTGTGCGGTGGTGAATTGTGCGACGAACTAGCGAGGTCGCCGCCACGACTTGGCAGTTCCAACTTCTCCCTGTCGATTCCTTTCAGTTGGGGGAGCAAGGGAGGCAAACCGTTGAGGAATCGACTGCTCGTGATTGCGACACGGGGTTCAGGCTACCGGCTCTCAATTGACCAGACACGGAATGTCCTGTGCTTTTTGAGATCCGGGACACTGCGTTGCGTTGCCAGATGCACTGTACGGCGTTTCCTCATTATCCGCGGAGATTGCTCGTGACCAGCACATTACGCGGAAGATGATGTTGGCCTACTAAAACCTAGCTTTGTAATGATTTACATTAAATAAATAAGCTACGAAAATACATTACAATGATCATAACACGAAAAAATTGTCGTAATAAACATCAAGTAAATTAAATGTACGTTCAAATATGAAATACGCATCATCACATGTCATCACTTTATCTCATCACTTCCCCTCTCTCTCTCTCGACGCAGTAGTCGTGTAGAGTTCCAGATGCGAGATTCGCGGACGGCCAAAATCGCGGATCGCCCAGTTCGCGAAACACCGCAAATCCGTCTGGCGCGCTCCGTTTGACACGCGGGAGTCAACGGAAGCACTCGAGTCCGCTGGCCGCCGGACGAGAGGACGCCACGGAGACCACGACACAGCGTCGTCGTTCGCTAAGCGCGAGTCACCGAACGTGCCGCCACCAACCGTCACCGAATCCGAGGACGTCGGGGAACACGCGTCATTCATTGCGACCGAATGCATTTTGCTTTCCACATTTTCCGCTCGTAACCTTTTGTTAAATTTTTTTAATATAAATTCCTACTAAGTAGCGGACATCCGTTGACTTGAGCCCGACCTTGCCTTTCTTTTTTGGGGTGGGGGTAGAGGTGGGTTTTCGAGGACAGAATGAAGCCACGAATTTTCCACGATCCTTGGCGACGATTAGCACGTGCCGTTTCTCAATGCCGCCGCAAACTCCTTGCGAACGCGCCGCACCCTGCAACCCTCCAACGCCCCCCTCCCCCCCCCGAGATAAACCGCAACTCGGGAACCCGACGGCACGAAAGCGTCAGAGCCGTCGGCCCCACGGAGCCCGGGAGGGGTGGGGCGGAGGTGTGGGAAGAGTCCCGCAAGCTTTTTTGGCGGACGGCGCCGTTTTATGTCGCTGGCCACCGCGTCGCGGTCGAGCCAGCGAACTACGCAGGGGTCGAGCCTGGATAGCACCTGGATAGCGCCTGGGTGGGCGGGCGCTCAGAACAAGCAGTGGGCAAGTGCTGCAATGTGAATTTGCTATCCTGCACTTCTACGCCCCCACCCACCCACCCATGTCTTTGATTACCCTTCACCAACAACCCGCACTGACCAGCGTGAAGTATGGTCAAAGAACACCCCCCCACCCCCACCCCCGCCCCCACCGCCCCCTCGCCACGGGGAGGCGCTCATCCAGCAGTGGAGTGACAAACGCGGCTGTGCGCACGCACGCACGCACATTCACGTCTGCCAATTGCGACTTAACTTTCCACTGGCAGTTGTTGTTTTTTGGGGTTTTATTTGTACACTTTTTTAGCTTGGAGCGTTATCCGAGTTTGATGCGGTCACGGAGGGTACAGTGTTGCTCAGTTTGGAAACCGCGGAGCGGGCGGGCGAGGGCACAGACGGGTGATGAGCTCCGCTTATCTGGCTCGCCATCGCACATTTTTTGACTTTCCAACGAGTGTCCAAATATATCCGCGGAGAGGCTTTATTTACACGCGTGTAGCGTCGGTGAAATAGCATAAAATAATAAAATATGGATTGCGTTTGTAAAAACAATTACACTGTTCAACTAAACAATTTTTTTTTACCAGGTAAGGCCCACTTCAGCTATACAGCTCTTTTTTTCAGAAGCGACCACAAATGAAAGCTCAACAAAGTGGCTTATCATCACGTGGACATTTACAGCAGCCAAAAATATGACGCCGAATAATGTAAGCCTGTGCATTTTCAGATGCTCTCTCTCCCGCTCATTGGCGATTTGGATTTCTCTACGAGGTCAAGGTGTGACTCCCGTCAGCACCACGGCGCGCGCAGAAGAGTGGAGATCAAAGGGCACAGCGCGGTGGCTGAAAGCCGAGAGGGCAGGAGTTTGAAAGTCAGGGACAAAAAAGCTGAGATTGGAGAGCACAGCCGAGAAGGTCAGAATACGGAGGTCAGACAGCAGAGGTCGGATGGACCATGGGAGGGAGGTCAGAGGGCAAAATATACAAATCGTGGGCATTGGGGCGCCACGGTGGCTAGGAGATGTTAACAACCTCGCCTGGTACACAGGAAGTCGTGGGTTCGATCCCGACCCTGACGCCTGCTGCTGTATATTTGGAGTTTGCGTGCCTCTCTCCCCGTGGTCACGTGGATTTTTCTCCGGGTCCTTCGGTTTTTCCCTCCACATTCAGACTCAACATGCGTTTAAGAATACTTGCCTGCTATAAATTTCCACGTGATAATCCACACCGTTGAGCTGTCATTTGCGGGCAGGTCGCTTCTGAAAAAGAGCTGTAACTCAGTGCGCCTTACCTGGTTGTTAAAAAAAATTTCAGTTTAGTTTGGACGGCTGAGCTGGGCAGAGAATGTTTACAGACTTCGCAGTCCCTGGGCTCCACGCTTCCCCCCCCGCCCCCCCCAAGCTTCCCCTTGCTTCCCATCGCTTCTCCACGCTTCCCGTGCACACGACGCCGGAAACGTGCGGTTATAGGGCGGTTAAAGGACACGTCCGGCTCGGATGTAGCCAGTCGCCGTGCGGAGATCCGCTAGAATTCTCTGCCCCAGCAGAGACGCGCGGGGTGACGCGGTCGATGGTGAGGGAGGGGGGGATTTTTCACTTGGAACAAAAAATATATTTTTAAACGCAAATGAGACACATCGGTTTGATGGACTCGTCATCATTACACAAACTCCGCGAACTGAATTCGACAAATGGAATCCTAAGGCAGGACCCCTTCTGAGCTGAGTACAGGCTTTTTGGAATGAGTTTTACTTTAATGGTCAATAGAAAGCAAAGTTGGGAGACATTTTGGGAAAGCGTTGTGAGAAGCGGTTTATGTCGCTGAATACACACATGCAGCATGTACGTATAGAGTTACATTATATACACAACGCACACAACACACATGCAAAACACACACACAACACACACACAACACACACAACACACACACAAAACACACACGCAAAACACACACGCACAACCCACACACAGCACAACACACATGCAAAACACACACACAACACGCACACACAACACACACAACACGCACGCACAACACACATGCAAAACACACACACAACACTCACAACACACACACAACACACACGCAAAACACACACGCACCACCCACACACAGCACAACACACATGCAAAACACACACGCACAACCCACACACAGCACAACACACATGCAAAACACACACGCACAACACACACAACAAGCACTCACAACACACACAACACACACACAACACACGCACAACACACGCACAACACACACACAACACGCACGCACAACACACGCACAACACGCACAACACACGCACAACACACACAACACGCACAACACACGTAACACACGCACAACACACATGCAAAACACACGCACAACACGCACAACACGCACAACACACACAACACGCACGCACAACACACGCACAACACGCGCACAACGCGCACAACACGCACAACACACACAACACACGCACAACACACGCACAACGCGCACAACGCACACAACACGCACAACACACGCACAACACACGCACAACACACGCACAACACGCACAACACACGCACAACACACACAACATTCCTGTACACGCTTCAAAAATCAGAAGCCAAACATTCTGGGGTGGCAATCATCTCCATTGCATTGCAATCCCTGGGTCGGCGCTGGCAGTTCCACATTCCTATGGCCGGGACAAGTCCCTCTGTAGGACGACCACTGTTGATGTCCCAGCAAAAGTGGAGCTACTAATTTCATCGCCGAGAGATAGATGACGATGACAACGATAGAATCAGTCGAACACCCAACCGGGAATACAACTCGTGCCCTTGTGATGCGCATGTGCATGTGTGTGTGCATAATACATAAGGCGTGGCTCATAACTCGGTCATTTCCCTCTTCGCAATGAAAGCTTGAGCCACAAGATCGGTACGCCCAGCCTTGCATCATCGCTCACCACATGCTCATCAGCAGTTCCTCTATGTGGCGGTGGCGGTGGTTGGGTTGTCGCATTCCAACGTAAATTAAGCTTCGGACCACACCCAACAACGCTCACCACCATCATCACTCACCAACATCACCCAGCATTGTGCACCGTCACCACACCCAACATCACCACCACCACCACCACCTATCATCACCCACTGCAATCACCACCTGTGTACTGCTGTGTTCTGTGCATTGTGCTTCTGAACCGCTACGTGATGTGCTTGCTGAGTACTGCTACAGCAGTACACATGTGTATTGTGCACTGCTGTGTGCGTCTTGCGTGCTGCTGTATTATGCGAGCTCGCTGTGTACTGCTGTGTACTGCTGCGTTCTGCGTACTGCTGTGTGCTGCCATGTACTGTGTACTGCTGAGTGCGGTGTACTGCTGTGTACTGTGTACCGCTGTGTACTGCCTTGCACTGTGTACTGCCATGTAGTGTGTACTGCCATGTACTGCTGAGTGCTGCTGTGTACTGCCATGTAGTGTGTACTGCCATGTACTGCTGTGTATTGCCATGTAGTGTGTACTGCCATGTACTGCTGTGTATTGCCATGTAGTGTGTACTGCCATGTAGTGTGTACTGCCATGTACTGCTGAGTGCTGCTGTGTACTGCCATGTAGTGTGTACTGCCATGTACTGCTGTGTATTGCCATGTGGTGTGTACTGCCATGTACTGCTGTGTATTGCCATGTAGTGTGTACTGCCATGTACTGCTGAGTGCTGCTGTGTACTGCTGAGTGCTGCTGTGTACTGCCATGTACTGCTGTGTACTGCCATGTACTGCTGTGTACTGCCATGTACTGCTGTGTACTGCCATGTACTGCTGAGTGCTGCTGTGTACTGCCATGTACTGCTGTGTACTGCCATGTACTGCTGTGTACTGCCATGTACTGCTGAGTGCTGCTGTGTACTGCCATGTACTGCGGAGTGCTGCTGTGTACTGCCATGTACTGCGGAGTGCTGCTGTGTACTGCCATGTACTGCTGTGTACTGCCATGTACTGCTGAGTGCTGCTGTGTACTGCCATGTACTGCTGAGTGCTGCTGTGTACTGCTGAGTGCTGCTGTGTACTGCGGAGCGCTGCAGTCCGTCCCACCTTGCCGAACCACCCGCGGCCGATCTCGTGGATGTAGCTGAGGCTGCGTCGGATCTCCACACCTCCGCCGGCTTTCTTCAGCGCATCTGTTGCCAGACAGCACGGAGACAGCAGCAGCAGCGGCGGCGGTGAGACACAGCCACGCGGGGACACAGCTATCCCCAGAGAGCGCCGCTCTCACCAGATATCACCGCTCACCCCCGGCGCCTGCTGGGTGTTTGCAGTTTGAGTGTCCCCCGATCCGTGGTGGCGTGGGGGGATTTTATTTTGTTTTTCCTCCGGGTCCTCCGTTTGTTCCCCTCCGAATTTAGCATCAATGTCACGGCGTTTAAGAGGATTTGGCTGCTGCTGCTGCGATAAATGTGCCACGTGATGATGATGATGATTATGACAAGCCACTGCCCACGTGATGATGATTGTGACAAGCCACTCCCCACGTGATGATGATGATGATGATAAGCCACTTCCCACGTGATGATGATTGTGACAAGCCACTTCCCACGTGATGATGATGATGATAAGCCACTCCCCACGTGATGATGATGATGACAAGCCACTCCCCACGTGATGATGATGATGATAAGCCACTTCCCACGTGATGATGATTGTGACAAGCCACTTCCCACGTGATGATGATTGTGACAAGCCACTCCCCACGTGATGATGATTGTGATGATGATGACAAGTCACTCCCCACGTGATGATGATTGTGATGATAAGCCACTCCCCACGTGATGATGATGATGACAAGTCACTCCCCACGTGATGATGATTGTGATGATGATAAGCCACTTCCCACGTGATGATGATTGTGATGATGATAAGTCACTCCCCACGTGATGATGATGATGATGATGATTGTGACAAGCCACTCCCCACGTGATGATGATGATGATGATTGTGACAAGCCACTCCCCACGTGATGATGATGATGATGATGACAAGTCACTCCCCACGTGATGATGATGATGATGATGATAAGCCACTCCCCACGTGATGATGATTGTGATGATGACAAGCCACTTGGTCGACTTAACATTTGCGACAGCCAGGTCGCTTCTGACAAACGAGCTGGATAGCTCAGTGGAGACGTTCCACAGTAAAATAATATAGAGTTGAGACCGCTACAGCCGATACAGAGCACATGCATGCTGGTACAGCTTACCAGGAACAGCTGTTCTAGCTGCAGTTATCCCAGATACACAACTGCAGCTATGCCGACACAGTTACCCCACGTACAGCTATCCCAACGATATATATGATTATTTTCCCAGTTGCGCTATCTCGGCTTGCAGATGCAGCTAAGAAGACACGGCAAGCCCTATACGACAGAGTACAGCCACCGCAGTACAGATATCCAAATGCAGTCAGTTACAGCTATTGGCACAATTTCGAACTCACCCACTCACTCACCCACCCACCAACCCACTCAACTCACTCACTCAACCACCCACCCACTCACTCACCCACCCACCCACTGACCCACCCACTGACCCACCCACCCACCCACTGACCCACCCACCCACCCACTGACCCACCCACCCACCCACTCACCCACCCACCCACCAACTCACTCACTCACCCACCCACCCACCCACTCACCCACCCACCCAGCCACCCACTCACCTACCCACCCACTGACCCACCCACTCACTCACCCACTCACTCACTCACCCACCCACCCATTCGCTGACTCTTGAAAATGAGGCTCCTATCCTGGTCTCTTGAGTTCTTACCTGGTTAAGAAAGAATCAAATAAAATCCTGAATGCACTCACTCACCCACCCACCAACCCACTCACCCACCCACCCACTCAGCCACCCACCCACTCACCCACCCACCCACCCACTCACCCACCCACCCACCCACTCACCCACCCACCCACCCACTCACCCACCCACCCACCCACCCACTCACCCACCCACCCACCCACTCACCCACCCACCCACCCACTCACTCACCCACCTACTCACCCACCCACCCACTCACCCACCCACCAACCCAACAACAACAACAGCTGCTACTGCTGCTGCTGTTTAGAGCGGAGCGCCCTGGTCTGACGCGGCGAGTCGCCTGCCTCTCCAATGAATCCGAATCCTCGCACACACCCCCTCGAGACTCTACTCCACCACAGTACTATTACACTGTACAGTAGTACTATTACACTCTAGTACTATTACACTGTACAGTAGTACTATTACACTGTACAGTAGTACTATTACACTGTAGTACTATTACACTGTACAGTAGTACTATTACACTGTACAGCACTGTTACACTGTACAGTACTATTACACTGTACAGTACTATTACACTGTACAGGCGTACTATTACACTGTACAGTACTATTACACTGTACAGATGCACTATTACACTGTACAGTACTATTACACTGTACAGTACTATTACACTGTACAGTACTATTACACAGTACTATATACACTGTAGTACTATATACACAGAAGTACTATTTACACAGCGGTACTATAAACACTGTAGTACTATTTAGACACTGGTACTATTACACTGGAGTACTATTTAGACACTAGTACTATATACACAGTAGTACTATTTAGACACTGGTACTATATAAACAGTGGTACTATTACACAGCGGTACTATTTAGACACTAGTACTATATACACAGTAGTACTATTTAGACACTGGTATTATATAAAGTGGTACTATTACACAGCGGTACTATTTAGACACTAGTACTATATACACAGTAGTACTATTTAGACACTGGTAGTATATAAAGTGGTACTATTACACAGCGATACTATTTAGACACTAGTACTATATACACAGTAGTACTATTTAGACACTGGTACTATATAAAGTGGTACTATTACACAGCGGTACTATTTAGACACTAGTACTATATACACAGTAGTACTATTTAGACACTGGTATTATATAAAGTGGTACTATTACACAGTAGTACTATTTAGACACTGGTACAGTACTATATAAACAGTGGTACTATTATACAGTACGTAGTACTATTTAGACACTGGTACTATATAAACAGTAGTACTATTTAGACACTAGTACTATATACACAGTAGTACTATTTAGACACTGGTACTATATAAAGTGGTACTATTACACAGTAGTACTATTTAGACACTGATACAGTACTATATAAACAGTGGTACTATTACACAGTGGTACTATTACACAGCGGTACTATTGGTTGCCAACTCTGGCACCCCACCGAGCCCATCGACCTCGTGCCCGAGTGCAGGACCACGTGACGCACGGTGCAGGACCACGTGACGCACGGTGCAGGACCACGTGACGCACGGTGCAGGACCACGTGACGCACGGTGCAGGACCACGTGACGCACGGTGCAGGACCACGTGACGCACGGTGCAGGACCACGTGACGCACGGTGCAGGACCACGTGACGCACGGTGCAGGACCACGTGACGCACGGTGCAGGACCACGTGACGCACGGTGCAGGACCACGTGACGCACGGTGCAGGCCCACGTGACGCACGGTGCAGGCCCACGTGACGCACGGTGCAGGCCCACGTGACGCACGGTGCAGGCCCACGTGACGCACGGTGCAGGCCCACGTGACGCACGGTGCAGGCCCACGTGACGTCTTGCGACCCGAGCATTTAATTCTCTACAATGTTAATTTATCTCCATGTATATAGATATATTTTTTCTATTTTGCAGTAATATTTATTTACAACAGAGATGAATACGCAAAGAAAACTAAAATAAAATACATGTTGGGGAGGGTGTGGGGGTCACAAGACATCTGGACCATACCCTGGACAGCACGGCGCATGCAAGGAGTCACGTGGGTTCGATCCCGACCCTGACGCCTGCTGCTGGATATTGGGAGTTTGCATGAAATTGAACACTACCGCTGCCCCAAACAGACTCACACAACACTAAGTGACGGTGATGTCCCCACGGCGCTTGTGCCAGGCTAGGTGCACTTCGAGGCCACGTGAAGTGTCTCACGCCCCCCGGCAGGAGGTCACGGGACGGACCCAGCAGGTGCCGTGGGTTGCGTGACTGAGATGGCCGGCAGATGCACAGACACACATACACAGAGACCCACACACACAGACACCCACACACACACAGACACACACACACAGAGACCCACACACACACAGACACCCACACACACACACAGAGACCCACACACACAGACCCACACACACACAGAGAGACCCACACATACACAGAGACCCACACACATACACAGAAACCCACACACACAAACCCACACAGACACAGACCCACACACACATACCCACACAGACCACACAGACACAGAGACCCACAGACACCCACACACACACAGAGACCCACACACACAGACACCCACACACACACACAGACCCACACACACACAGAGACCCGCACACACACAGAGACCCGCACACACACAGAGACCCGCACACACACAGACACCCACACACAGAGCCCCACACACACACAGAGACCCACACACACACAGAGACCCACACACACAGAGACCCACACACACACAGAGACCCACACACACAGACACCCACACACACACACACAGAGACCCGCACACACACAGACACCCACACACAGAGCCCCACACACACACAGAGACCCACACACACAGCCAGAGACCCACACACACAGCCAGAGACCCACACACACAGACACCCACACACACACACAGACCCACACACACAGACCCACACACACACAGAGACCCGCACACACACAGACACCCACACACACACAGACTCACACACATACACAGAGACCTACACACACACAGAGACCCACACACACAGACCCACACACACAGACCCACACACAGAGAGACTACCACACACACACAGACCCACACACAGAGACCCACACACAGAGACCCACACACACACACAGAGACCCACACACACAGAGACCCACACACAGAGACCCACACACAGAGACCCACACACAGAGACCCACACACACAGACACTACCACACACTCACACAGACCCCCACACACACACAGAGTCCCAGACCCCCACACACACACAGACAAAGATCCCCGTGTTGCGTTAAGAGACTGTTGGGGCAAGTGAT